CGAAGGTCCGGTCTCTTGTGCCAGTGCGGGTGTACTGGGTTGGGATGTCATGCCGTGTTTTTGGTGACTTGAAGTTACCCGTACCGCGATGAGCTGCAGTCGGTTGTTCGCGGTCACGACTGACTACTCAGATTTGTCTTACTTACAAATAGAGACTGGGGTGAAATCAACAAAAAAGTCAGGAGCGGAGAAAAAGAACGGCTCACCCAGCTGACTTTCTCTTCCTCATCATGGCAACTCAGAACCCCCTACTCTTTTTTTCTTTTTTTTCTTGATACTGATTTTGGTCATAGATACTGCTGATGGTGCCGTTTTCATTCATGTCAGTAGAAGAATGTGTTGTTTTCTTCTTTTTTTCTTTTTTTAGAAGACAGATGGGATGGCAACTCAGAACCCCCTACTCTTTTTTTTCTTCTTTTTTTTGATACTGATTTCGGTCATAGGTAGTGCTGATGGTTCCGTTTTCATTCATGTCAGTCGTTGATGTCAGTAGAAGAATGTGTGATTTTCTTCTTTTTCTTTTTGTAAGACAGATGGGATGGCAACTCAGAGCCCCCTACTCTTTCTTTCGTCTTTTTCTTGATACTGATTTTGGTCATAGGTAGGGCTGATGGTGCCGTTTTCATTCATGTGCCTGGAAGAATGTGTGGTTTTCTTCTTTTCTTTTTTTTTAAGAAGACAGATGGGATTATGGTGCCTTCATACACTTTCGCCACGCCTGTCTTAGGGTGGCGGCATCTCGGCCATTTCGATGCCAACAATGCACGCGCTTCGATCTCGTTCGGAGCGAGCGCTTAGCACTGCCCGGTGCTTTGGCGCCATTTTAAGGCCCATTCGGCACGCGCAGGCAGTTTTCAATACAACAATGGGTGTCTTCACCCTATGACAGACGCACATTGAGGCACTCTAGATGGGATGGCATCTCAGAGCCCCCTATTTTTTTTTTTCTTCTTTTTTTTTTTTTTTTTAATCTTTTCTTTATTTTTTTTTCTTGCTCTCGCTGCTGAACTCACGAGCAGGAGCTCCTGAGCTCCTGCTCGTGAGCTCACGAGCAGGGGCACGCCGGACGGTGGACGGACATACGGACATGGCTAGCACCAGGAGCTCCGCCCCTAAAAAATCAGTATCATCAGCACCCTTCAGAGCTTCGCCCCAATCAACATCATTCACCACGTGGAGATAAGGCTTATTTTTATTGTTGGGCACAGGTTCGCCACAATAAACGTTTCAGTTTTCCCAGTTATTCTCTGTTTCACCTCGTCATTCGTGACAATACAAAACGCACGGCTTAATAAGCATCGAAAATTGTCAAGTGTTCGCGGATTTGGCTTTGCAATGTCATGCACATAGGAAGCACTATTTTGGTGTAAGGTACTCTGAAATCATGGTGGTTCATTTTGAGGTTATACAGGGTATGTTCAACGAAATGCGGCCTAAATCGTTCGTTCCCAAACCATATGTCGAACACAAAAAAGGCTTGTGTTTTTCGGTCCTGGGCCAGGGGCCGATTTGGAAAAATAATAAAGTTTTGGATAATTACCGCAGAATACCACGCATCCGCCCACGCCACACTAAGCGCCTATTCCCGAAGTTTTAAGATCTGAGAAAATGTGCACAGCACATTGATATGTAAAATTGTTGACCGGACAAGCGCCAATTCCTCATTTTTTTTCGCAATTATCTTTAAATTTTAAGTGGGCGCTTCCTCTGTATTTTACTAAGTTGCTAATTATTTTCACAATTTTTTTTTTTTTATGATTGAGCTTAAGGCCACGGTCCCACTGAATGTGGCAGTTTAGGTACTTCTTGGCAGGCCATTACTCATCTCCTTCTAAATACTGTTTTGTGGGATTGATGTCAATCGAAAGGCAATGCAATCCTCTTTCATTTGACATTACGTATGTGTTGGTTTTTACTGTTCATGCGCATTTGTAGCGTTGCGAATATGATGGCGCGGACCCTCACTTGCTCCGCTAGTTCATGTTTTATAAACGTTTCATTAAAGATAACACGATTCCAAATTAGCAGTTTTGTTAAGATGATGTCGGAGCAGAATGTAGCGATACAATTTTTTGGTAGTTGCACTACTTTGTTTTTTTCGTCCCTCCAAATACTGCCCTAAAATTGAAATTTTTCAGCACCAATATCTTTTTAATGACACGCGCTAGGGCAATGAAATTAGCTACAGATGTAGTGCTTTTGATTGGTAATATGCAGAAAAAAAAATTTAATGTTGTGTAAAAATATTTTGTTAGGATATTTTATATCAGACGAGCATTTTTTTGTGCTCAGAGTTATGGTACTTCAAATGCCGCCGAGGAAATAATTAAACTATGATAAAATATTTTATAACATTTAGAGCTACAATGGTTGCCCAAGAGGTGGACGATGGCTTTTTTTTCCTTTTCAAAGTCATAACGCTCCAGGAGTGTTTCAAACTTACCTGTTTTGACGCATATCTTATATCGCATATCCCGGACTGTGACTGGAACCGATCTAAGTTTTCCTCCAACAAGTCCGTTAATCTCGAGAGAAGCAGAGGTTGATGGAGGGAGTAATACAAGTCCTTAATGTCTAGTGACATGACTTCGCACTTCTGCTGGTGGATAGACGTAGGAAGTTTTCTTAACTTAACGGAATTATATCTCAACTCCACAGCTGTAGAATTGGGGGGGGGGGGGGGGGGGGGGCAAATACGCTCAAAAGAAAGGGGTCTGTATCGGTTCATCGTTGGCACCGGCTTTGTCCGAGATTTATTTGGCTTCTTTGGATTCGGCCTTGGGACAAATTGTACAATCATTCCCAACAGGGTCAGTGTTAATCAGGAGATACGTTGATGATATTTTGATATGTTCGGTAGAGAAGGGGGCACTGCCTGAGATCAAAGATTTCATAGTACAAGCAGCGCCTGAGTTGACCTTTAGCAGTGAGGAGCCTGTTGAAGGTGAGCTGCAGTATTTAGATCTTAGGTTGGACACGGTGGGCGGGTTGTGCTGGGAATATGGAAAAGTAGCGGCAAAACCTTTGTTGCCCTACAAAAGTTGCCATTCAAAATTGGTTAAACGAGGGGTGGTCACGTCTCTGCTAGACAACGCTTTAAAAAAATCTTGTCGGCACAAAGTACATAAAGCTGTTATAAGACAATTAGAACGCATTAAGGAGGCAGGGTATAAGAGTAGCCTTGTGGAGGGGGTCGCAAGGAAGTGTGTGGTGAGACTCAGAGGAGAGGTGAGGAAAGAAATTGAGAAACCAGAGAGGGTAGTGTGCATTCCTTTTTTCCATAAGTTTTCGCACAACTTGTTGGCGGTTGCTGGGAGATTCAAGATAAGGGTGGTCTTCACTCCCGACTTTAAGTTAAACAGGCTTACGCCGTTTTCGGGAGGGGCGCGAGGTTGTCAGAAACGGCACAGAGAAGCTGCCGTTGATTGCCAGGTTGGTGTAGTGTACGATATTCCAATAGCCTGCGGTTTCACCTACGTGGGGCAGACAAAAAAGTGCTTGAATGAGAGACTGCTTGAACACATGATGGCAGTTAGGATCGGGTCTTCAAACTCTAAGATTGCTAAACACGTACAGGAGTGCAATAATTGTCTGCCGGAGTGGGGGTCTACTGTTGTTTTGAGCAAAGAAAAAGATTGTGCAAAAAGAGTTTTGAAAGAGACAATTAGAATCACGACAGTAGGAAACTGTATCAGTCAACCGTCAATCGCATTAGACGAAGCGACCCGAAAAGTTTTGCTGTTGTAATATTTTTTTTTTGTATGTTTTAATGTGGCGTGCTTGTGCGTGATGGGATACGGCCCATTCGTCACATGTCGATTCTTCATAGGGCAACTGGTAACAGGCCCGTTCGTCACAGCGGAACATTGGTCATAGGGTGATTCGTCACGCTGGCAGTTCGTCACACAATGACTTCCACATTGTTAAACTTTTTTTTTCTATCGTGTTTTCTTAGGAAAGTTACGAAAGGGGGCCACTTAATTAAATCCGTACAAGGCCAGTGAGGTTGATTACGGGAAACAAAAGCATGTCCCAATGACCCCAAGTTAAGGCAGCATGCAGCCTTTAGCCTGCATGTTGTCTTATCGGGGTCACCTTTCTTACAAAAGACCTTCAAGAACATAAAGTTCACAATAGAAAAAAGCCCACCGAACGGGATTTTCTTTTGTGCCCTGTTTTAGGGCTTATTATGCCGGTTGCCCTCCGATTACAAAAATATCACGAGTCTCGATTTCTAAATGGGGGTAGTTACTACTAAGAGAGGTGGCGATATGCTTCTTCACGAAGGACATTCCTACACTTGCATTAAGGTTTACGAAACTACGTTGTATTGGGCCTGCCGGCGAAAAGAAGTTTGTAAAACAAAAATAGTCACCGATCACGCCAAGACTCGTGTAATCTCTTATTCAGGAGACCATACGCATGCATTTGACAACACCAAGATAAACGTGCTTGGGTTCGTCATCAGATGAAGGAAAAAGCTGGTATGTACCAAAATCTGTTCCTGCTGTTATATTCCGAAAACAAGGTCATTAATGTCCTTTATTCTAGTGAAAGGCCGTCTATCACAACACCAAATGCTTCTGGCTGCGGTTGCCTGTGTCAGTGACGACACTGCTTTGCAGATTCCCGCACCGCCAACACTCCGGCGCTCCATCCGCAAGCAAAGGCAGCGGCCGACTTTCGAGTACAGCGTATCATCTTCCAGAGCCGACATACGATCGAATGCCCACAGAGTTCAAAGTAAAGTGTATTGCAGCGCAAAATCACAGTGCGCGACATATTATGATAATAATGACTGTTTTACCTGCATGCAGACCGCAGCCAAAAAAAGACTCCTTTCTCCTTCACGATAGCGGAGAGGGCGACGGCGAAAGAATCCTGATCTTTGCTACCGAGCGCAACTTGAGCTGTCTGGCTCACGCGACTACGTGGTTCGCGGACGGGACCTTGAAAGTGACCCCCAGCACAGTTGTACTAACTGTACACGGAGCATGTTACAGTCAACGGCGTGGTAAAGCCAATAGTTTACGGCTTGCTGCCCAACAAATCTGAAGCTACCTACAAAAGGTGAGCATTCAAGAGCTCTGATAAACGTATAAAACGAAACGCTCGGTGGTCCTATTATTGGATATGTGTTCAAACACTTCAAAATATGTTCGCTCGTTTTAAGGTTTTTCGACGTCGTTCTGAGTCACATGGGGGGCCAACTGCCTTGAGGTGGCTTACACGGACTTCAAGATAGCGGCCATCAACGATACAGGGATGTTTTTTTCAGTTCAGACAATTCAGATGACGAGTTTGCTGTTCTGGTATGCGGCATTCTATTTATACGTCTTATTGTTGTCTTCAGGTAAGCCAATTTTTTACATTATTTCTTGTGGATTTTCAAATGGGAATGCGTCCAGCATTGGCCTTCTTGCCAATCACCGACATTCCCGAGGCCTTCAAAGCACTTCTGGAGGTTTTCCCCACCGATGCCTTACTCGTGGCGGACTACTTCGAGGACGTGTACATGGAGAGACCCCATCGAAACGGCTTGTCGTCGGCGACCTCCCCTCCTCTGGTTTGGTCAGTCATAGAATCAACACTAGCAGAAAGGCCAACAAGGACGAACAACAGCATCGAAGCGTGGCTCCGGGGACTGCACGTAAGAACTGACGCAATCCTCTGAGAACTTGGACGCTTTCTGTAGTACATTTTTGCATTTGTGGCTCAAAATTTCAGTATGGTGCCCACTCAAAAAGCTTTCTCCACGAGTGTGTGTGTTCTTTTTTTCTTTTTATTCTTGACAGAGGTGAAGCTGGCACATGCAGAGGGCGGCACGACATCTTCGAGGGTGTCCAAGGAGCACGACGACAGCAAGCGGCGTCTTCAAATCATTGTGAGCCGCTACAATGATCGAAATCGTCTAGAAACCCTGTGGGGGAGGGGTCGGAATATCGCTTTTTAATTTTTTTATTTATTTCGCTCAATAAATCTGTTGTTTTATAAGTACAACGATGACTTGTTTGGATGTTCCCTCTCTTTAGAAAAATTAAATATACGGTACTAATCTTTATTGCTTGCACAGCCAGGTGAATATATGTTGGCCAAATCCAAATATCCGGTTCGCACAGTGACAAACGTTCCTAGGGACAAATTCTCCTATGACGAATGTTCCGCTGTGACGAACGGGCCTATTACCAGTTGCCCTATGACGAATGCGCACATGACAAACCGGCCTACACCCGTGCGTGATACGAGATGCGAGTTAGGCCTTGGAGCTTGTGTGAAGGTGTGTGCGTTGGGTCCGACCTTCGGGGGTTGCGACAATGAAGGGAGTTCGGAGATTTGAATTGTTATCAGACTAGACGACGCGACACGAAAGGTTTTGTGCTGTTATCAATCTTTTTTTCTTTTTTTTTGCCGGTTAGGCTAGGTGGGGTGTGAAGGTGTGGTTCCTTGGGTCCGACTTTAGCGGGTGTGACGATGGGGCTTGTATTGCAATGCTTTGTACAAACTAAGAGAAGTGATAAAAAAAAAAGTGTCAAGACGAGATGCACCCTGGCTAAAAGTTGCAGTGACGTGGGCAGTTCCGGAAGACGTGTGGGAGAGATTCTATATAAACGACTGTTCAAATAAAATTTAGTAGCTGCGTTTGAGACGTTTTGTGTGTTGTCCCCTTCTTCGTCCGTCGTCTCCGGTTTTCAAAAATGTGTAACATGTTTCGACCAAGACGCTAGCGGACGTGTCCTTCTTCCTCCGGGCGTTCCCGCCCTTGGGCCCCGCCGGCGCCCGCCGCATCGCCTCTCTTCGACATGTGAGACTGCATCCCTTTTTAGCAGGCCGCCTGGGCCCTGCGTTTTCTTTTTATTTCACGGGTGACCAATTTTAATTACAACAGCGCCATTGAAAACTCCATTTGAACACACTTCTTATCTCTTATCTGTGCTGACCCGCAGCTCTGCACGAAGTGAAGTCCCCACCCGCTTGCATTCCACCAATATTTAACATCGCGTATGCGCCTAAAGTCATCCTGCAATGCTATAGGCACATTCGCACATACAAACCGTTTTAAGAAAGCAAAAGTCGAGCACTTGTGTGAAGAATGTCGCACCGTTCGCCGGAAGTGCACCGACGGGCATGAACCCCTATGCGGTGCGCCAAACAAAAGAAATTATTCAAAGCACATTTGATGGTTGCTAATGACCATAATAATTTTTTATATGTTGTCTTTTTCCTGACTGAGTATGCCGAGATAATTTCAGACACACCGTTCAGACACTAATCTAGGGCGTCAGTAAAAGCTCGTCCAAAAAGGCTTAGCGAGGAGTAGGGGACGCTTGTTAGGGCCCCCGTCGTAGCTAGCCGATCTCAGTGTTTGCGAAAACTTAATCTTCTATCAGCATTAAATTTGAGTGGGACATATATGATGACACGAGGAAGACATCATAGTAACTTTTCTGCAGTAGTGAGGTCAAATTTATTGCATTTCCTTAAAAGTTCGTGGGTCAACGCTGGGCTCAGCTTTGATACTCCTGTGAGGATGCGGCTAACTTTCCGCGCCATTAAGTAACAAGAAGCGGACCTTTGTCTAACGAAATACGTGTAAGCCTCAAGGTGACGAAATTTCAGTTGTATTTCACTGGTGCTAGACGGGATTATTGAAATTCAGCTCAAAGAAACACTCGAGGGGTGAGGTGACTAAGCCACATCTTACTACGTTTTCATACGCTCGCACAATATCCGGTGTTTCAGGAACCAAGGAAAGTGCTTCGGTATTCGTTTTGTATTGCTCGAGAATATGTGCATTGTACATTCGTGAAAAATCAGATAATCGAAAGAGCAAGCAGCGCGTTCGGTCGCGGCGCGATAGCATGAGATGGAGCTGCTCAGTCGAAACCGAAACTGAGTGGCCAACTAGTTCCCAGAGTGCACTGCGTGGTATTTCGCCGCGACGGGGCCCCTCGGTTTTAGAAGAAGTCTATTGGGCAGATATGGGTATATAAGGAATTGGGCAGATATGACTTTATGCGTCCAGATACGGCCTGATTATGCATATCTGGTAATATCTGCCCAGTTTGTTGTATACGTATATGTATATGTGTACGAGCAAAAATTTTCTTATCAATATTGCTCAATGTTATCGGTCGAAACTCGGTTAAAGATCTTGCCTGAATCGCTTGAGGTGTGTTTAAAGTTTCTATGGTATGTGTTTGCAAAAATGATGGCGGAGGACATTAAGGGAATAAGCTTCACTAATAATCTCAAAAAAGAAAGGAGCGACTGCGTTCTTAAATTTCTAGTAAAATTCTCTACTGAAGCCGTCTGGTCCAGGTGTTTTGTGGGAAGATAAACCATATCTGGCACATTCAACCTCTTCAAGCGTTGCAGCTTTTTACAACGACTCTTTAACTTCATCCGAGAGTCGAGGCGTTTCTTCTAGTATAACTTCAAGGTTCTCTTTGTTTAAAGCCATGTTTTCGCCACCCAATAACTGGGTGTAGTAATCCATAAAGACGTCTTCAGTGAAATTCCTATAATTACTCGTGATGCCCTCGTGGGAGATAGCGGGGATCGCTTTAGAGATTGCATATTTTCTTTCTCCGTTCAAGGCCCGCCGAATAGGTTGCTCGCCTAACAAAAATGTGTGGGATCTTGCTCGTATACTTGCTCCAAGTTAACGCCACTGATAGGTAAATTTCTAGTTTCACCGTTGCTTTATTTTTGCCGTCATTGTGCCCGGGTTAAGATCTTCTGTTCTGAAGAGTTCATGCCAGTACTTCTTTAGTCCTATCATCCCTTTGCTCGCCTCACGCTTTAAGTGAGACGGCCTTTCGATTGCGGTTTGTTTTACCTCTTCTTTAAAGCATTCCCACTTCTCTAGATAACAAAATTTTTCCGTCGTTTTTATTTTGTTAAATGTTTCTGCCACGGCCTGGACAAATTCGTCGTCTTTCAGGCGAGTGTTATTTATTTCGCAAAACATCCATTGGAATTTATTTTCCCTAGGTTTCAGTTTTCCTAGCGTCACAATAACGAGGCAGTGGTCGGTAACAAAAAGCGGTTTTAATGAGTAATTTGTTATACTACTGATAACGTCGGCAGCAACGTAGATGCGATCAAATAGCGAGCGGGTCGCCCGTTGAAAGTGTGTGAAATTACTCTCCAGTGATGGTTAAACAAAACAAAATCGCACAATATAAAGCGCCTCACTCGTCAACAGTTGCATTTAAGTTTCGGAGAGGTACTGACTTTCCAAGGAAAAAACAGACACCCCGCTGATACTCCGACCACATGACTTACACACACTTCGTAGCGACTAAGAAACGGCCTCAGCGCTTGTTCGATGTCGCTATCATTGGACATTTTTTTCTCTTGTAATGCAAGAAAATCGATTTCCTCGTCAGCCAGTAATCGTTGCAGCTAGTACTGTTGTTTGCGCGCGTTCAGGCCTCGGACGTTTAGAGTCGCGATCGGATAGGCTCGCGAAGAACGAATAAGCGCGAGCCATAAGGCGTCATGCACGCGGCTAAATAGAGGCCTTTCTAACAGAACCCAAGAAAAACGGGTGTCATCCAGAACGGGACTTACATGGCCTGGACATGCACTATGATTCCTTAGTGCGAATGTAATCACACGTGACGCGTGACTTGACGCTAACACGAATCTTTTTGGGTCCAGTCCTGAGCCGTAGTTGCGCACCAGTTTCGTCCCCTGCGAGATCTTCAGGGGTGGAGAATGGGTCTCGCAGTCGCTTCACGACCTGTCCCATCTCAACATCAGTCACCGACACGTCAGACGCGGGGTCCCGACCGCCCTCGTCGTCGTTGCTGTCCTTCGGCGGACCTGCTGCCCGCTGAAAATGCACTTGTCCTTGACATGATGGCTCCACCATCTTCTTGACCTCGACTCCTGGCCCTTGCGGCACGCACTCGAATTTGATCGTACAGGGCGCCGAAGTCAACTGACGGGGACTGCCGCGGCAGCCGACCTGTCGCCTTCGTTCAGTTCAAGTGTGGTCTGAGTCCAAGCTCCGACCGCCTCTTCAGCTTCCGCGTCGTCCATGATGAAGTCAAACTGATCGTCCGCCTTGCGGTCACGGGCCATTGAGGCGTAGGTCTTGACACAGTCCTCCGCTTCGTGACCGTAACGATCACAGTCAGTGCAGCGGGGGACGCGGCATTTGCGCCTGATATATCCCTTATGACGACTGCGAAGGCAGAGCTGGGCTCGTCCTGGCACCACGACCAGCACCTTGCACCCATCAGCACGGATCCCGTGGGGCAGGCTGTCAACGGTCTGACCTTCTTTAAAAGTCAGGCGTACCGTTCTGGTATTCCATTTCACAGCTTCGAACCCATTCTCTCGAAACAGGAATTTGGTAATGTCGGAGACCTCTCCTTATCGCTCCAGCTCCTTCTTCACTTGGCCGTTGGGAACGTCGTACGGGAGTC